TCTTATATTAATTATGTTGTTAGCTTAACATGCAGTTTCAAAATCTTATAACTATCTAATGAGATCTTGTATATCTTCATAAAAATTAATAATTTTTGTGAATAATATTTCTTTTGCTGATAAAGCAAGAATAATAGCTTGAGCTTGAATAGTATTTATAAGATTAACTAGTCCAGTCACTATTTGGTTGAATTATTGATTATTCATAATTAATTCTGATTGTTCTTCTTCACTATCTTCTTTTATTATTTGAATTACTTGATTTTCTAAATCTTTTAAATCTTCTTCAATAATTTGTACTTGTGAATTATTTTGAATTACAATTTGGTTTTCTGAATTTTGGAGTTCAACTAATTGTTCTTGAAGTCTTTGTTGTTGACAATACTGCTTTTATTGTATTGTGAAGATTTGGATATTTTGTTGTAAATGATACAAGTAAGTTCAAATTTCTTGTTCTTCTTGTGATAAATGATATAATAATAGTTCTTTAAGTTATTCAATTAATTTACTGGTTGAATTTTCTAAATGTGTTATAGCAAACATTTTTGCTAGTCAATTTTTAATTTCTTTCAGTTATTATTTGTTTAGACTTTCTGATAAATCTGTTTTATTTTTTAATTCTTCAAATAACTGATTAATTTCTATATCAGTTGATTGTATTGAATTCAGTTTGATTGTTTGAGTGATTTATTCACAAAGAATTTGTTTACTAATTAATTTGTTATATTTGAGATCTTTGAATTTTTCTTCTTAGTATTGATACCTTTGAAACTTTTCTTTTCACAGAAAGAGCACCAAATTTTGTTATCATTTTAATATGGCTTTATATTTTGTTATAAGAGTATACATAATAAAGTCAGATGGGAGAGTTGATGTATTAAATAACTTTAAGTTGGGAGAGTTTACTAAATTATCTAAAGATAGTTAATATATATTTATTTTGTTGATTAACTAGAATGAGATCAGAAAGATTCAAAGATAATTGTATCTTTTATAATTCAATCTATAATAAGTTAAGCATTCTTTTAAAGTTGATTTATAAACAAGTAAGATATAATTTTCTTTTATTAATTTAATACTATTATTAACTTCACAATATAGATGAGAGATCAAATACAAGAATGTATAAGATAATATAACTACGCAATAATAATGAGAGATTATAAAACAAATATAAAAATAACTTTATAATTAAGCTAAGAGATTATGAAAATACTATCTAAAGGATTATTAAAAGAATATAAAACTTAATTGATTGATTATTATTTTTTTCTAAGCTATGATACAAGCTATATTTATAAATATTTGATAATCATTTGAAATAATCATTCAGAGTATTTGAAATGATTATTTGAAAAGATTATTTGCAATGATCATTCAGAATGCTTGAGATAATCAGTTGGAATAATTATTTGGAATGATTATTTGAAGTGATCATTTGAAGTGATCATGTAAAGCAATCATGTAAAGTAATTGTTTGTGATTATGAAAAATATCTAATTACAATAATATAGATCTATTATATCATATGTTGCGCATTACTATGCTATACTATATTATTGTAATACAAAAACATATATAAATACAAGTGCTAATAATTAATAAAAATCAAGTTCTCAAGATTTAATTTAAGTTCTTCAAGTTTGATTCAAGTTTTTTTAGTTTAGTTTTAAGTTTCTTTTGGTTTAATTTTAAGTTTATTATGTTAAATTAATAAAAATTTGAAGTTAAAAGTAGTTTTTAATTAGAATTTCTTTTAGTTTAGTTTTATTATTGTTATTTTTATTTTGTTAAGAAATATTCTATTAATATAAATATCATTTAGTAATAAAATTATCATTTTAAAATACTTTTATATGCAAAAGCTCAAAATAATAACAATATTATTATAACACTTATTTTTATTATGCACTACTGAATATTCAATCAGGTTGCTATAAAATATCAATACTGTATTATTATAGAATTATTCACATACTAAATAAATACAAAAAGAAGATATTTATTAGTAGTAGTGATATTCTATTCTAGCTTAATAGATAAAGTCACATTGCATATTAATCCTAATGTAACTGGATTGAAATTAATAAAATAAGATAAATTACAATAAATATTAATTGAATACTTATATTACAAGAATATCTATTTGAATTTGAAACTTATAACACTGGTGACAAATTTTTGGTGCTCTCTTTGTGAAGCAAAAAAAATTAGATCCAACAAAACCAATAGTATTAGAAGTACAAAAATAATTTTGCTTGCTTATAATTACATTAATAATTAAAAAACTATTCAATAATGATAGAACTCACTTATTCAATCTAATAAAAGTTTTCTTCATTTGGCAATTACTCGAATAGAATAATATTATAAAATAACATAACTAATACAATTAATCTCTAATAATAACAACAAAACTTCATCTGAAATAATCAATTATATTCAAATTTTTTGTGAAAATATTATCAACTTCAACCAATACTGAATTTATCATTTACAATAACAAATAACCACAACAAAAAGAGCTAAAATAATACAAAGAAGATAACAAATCCAGCAAATTCAATAATTATAACAGCCAATTCAATAACAAACTCAGCAAAATCAACAACAAATACAATAATAATCTACATTTCTATCACAACAAGATAATCAAATAGTAAATAATACAATTAAATATATGATTAAAGCTATTATTCTATTAGTTAATGCAATGATTGCACAATAAAATTAACAAATTGAATATAATAATTTACTATTATCAATCTTTCAAGATAATGAAACTAATGATTTAATTACCTGATTTAAAGAATTTAATTACTATGTTGAAGCAAATAATATAATCAATACAAGAAAATTACAGTAATACCTATATATCTTAAAGGTATTGCTGATAATTGATATAAATAGTGAAAACAAGCACATAATAATTAATTTCAAATCTGAACTCAAGCCAATAATAATTCTTTTAAAAATTAGTTTATAATTCAATTTAGAACTAATATACAATTTATAGCTTGAAGACAACAATTAGCTATTAAAGTTCAAAATTCAAATAAAATAAGTATTCAATATATAAATAATATAAAAATCTTATTAAATAAAATTAATCCAAATAATGATTATATAGCTAATTACAAAATTTGTGAATTTATTAAAGATCTCAATTCATCAATCACTTTTTTCATTAACTATGAAAATTTAGTAACTTTAAATAATACAATTGAATTATCTATTCAAACTGAAATTGAATATAATCAAATTTCTCTATAGTTATATCTATTTATAGTTACACCCTTCTATAGTTATTCTATTTTGCTTTCATATTTATATATAAATATAGTAAAAAAATTTCTCTATAGTTACATCTCCTCTATAGTCACCAAATTTTGCTTCCCTGAGGGTGATGACTATAGAAAAGTTTAACTGTACAACAAAATTTATCATATAGTTAATTCATATTAAATTATATTTTTAATGTTATTATCAATTCAAAATATTGCAATCACAAATACTATAATTTTAATAATAAATTCACAAAAATAATCTAGTAAAAACTTTGACTGAACTCACCAAAACAATAAAATAACTGGCATATAACAATAATAATTAATTAATACAATAGAATAATAATTATAATAATAATAATACAGTCAAATTCCTTTATAATCATCACTCTTGGAAAAGTAAAATTTGATGATTATAGAGAGAATGTAACTAGAGAGATTTTTTTACTATGTTTATATGTAAATAAAAAAGCAAAATAGAGTGACTATAGAGATGTGACTATAAATAAGTGTGATTATAAAGAAATTTGATTATATAAAAAGAATATAACTATTATCATCAGTCTGTGATCTTTACTGATGAAGATATTCACGAGATAGGTGATAGTGACTGTGTTCACATAAAAGTATATAATATAAGTCTTTTTAAAATACGAGTTCCAATGTCAAGTGCAAAAATTATATTTATAATTCTCACAAGTGAAGCTTTATAATGAATATAAATAATAATTCAATACATAATGAATTATTATAACAAGGAAGACAAAAAAATCAATCAGAATAAGATAATTAGAATAATCAGAGTCTGATCTATTCTTTATTATTATCAAGATCAAAGATAAAATTATAAGATATCTAATTTTCTATATTAGATTACATTCATTTAAATACATATTAAAGTGATATAGATCTACAAGATTTGTAACAATGCAAAGAACTAATAAAATAATAAAGTTATAATATGCGTAATACCAAGAAATGATAAATATAATACAAATTAAATCTAAATATTACAAATAAAATTAGAGAAATATTGACATTACATTAAATAAATTAGATGAATTAATAATCAAAATTAAATAAATTAATAATTAGAAATCAAGAACTAATAAAATATAATAACTAATAATTAATAAAAATTGCATAATAAATAAATAAAATAATTGGTGATTTATGATATCACTAGATATAAATAAAAGATAATTAAAAATAAATAAATAAATAAATATTTATAAATAGAAATTAATTGAATATCACTCAGGATCTGATAATATCTTATATTAGGTAATCAAAAAAAATAGTAAATGATAATACTATAGAAAAATTTTTTTATTATATTTATATGTAAATGAAAAAGCAAAACAAAATAACTATAGAAAGGTGTAACTATAAACAGATGTGACTATAGAGAGATTTGATTGTATTTGAATTAAATATATCACATGCCATGTAAAAAATTATATCACGTGAACTATATTATTCCACGTGTTATGCAATTTTACATTGCTACGACAAAATTTTGAGTTTAGATTTTCGTTATTATATAATTATCGAAATTGCAAATTTTATTTACAAATAAAGAAAATAAGCGAATTACACATATTTTCTGAAATAAGGCTATATATTATATTAATGTAAGTTATTGTAAAAAGATAAAGGTAAGCTTTAAGAATTGTCCATTTAGTTTAAAATCGTATCATTATTACTATTCTTTTAATTGTTATGCCTATTATTATCAGTTGTCTTGGAATCTGCAACATTTTTATGTTTATGTTCTATTGTTCCATTCACTAGCGCAGCAGCTAAATCTGTTCGTCGTCGCTTTATACGTAATTTTATTTGTTTTTCTTCTGCGACGAATTTGTTTAATTGATTAGTCTATTATGAAGCAAAAAACGTGAAAATAAAAATATTTGATTAACATTGACGCGACAAATATTTTAATACACAAAAAACAGAAAATTTTTGAAAAATAAATACAAACTTGCAAGGTTTTCTCTTGCTCAACTTCCATCGTTTTGGTCTTTTGCCAACCACGATGCTTATAACAAGTAGTCTTTCGCTCCAGACAGATATTACCATCATCCTCTGGCGGCGCTTCACACATTCGACCCTCGCTGTCTGGTAAATCGTCGCCCCAAATTAAGCGTTTGTCAAAGCCACATGGTTGTTGTTTCTCAACGGTGATCCCTTCACAGCTGATTTCCCACCGTGATTTGACTTTGTCTAGTATTTTTTCCTTTGTTCGGTTGATTTGTAAGACTCGTTTGATTTTTTCCAACTCGTCGTGTATCCGTTTTAGTTGTGAAAGATCTTCTCGCTCGGCTGTTAGATTTCTGGTGTATTTTTTGGATTTTACACCGTCGCTGGCAATATTATTGTTATTACTTGTGTTTTTTGGTGAATTCTTGGTTTTCTTTTCGTTAACCTTTAGGTATAATAATAGTTTCGCGCGTTTTTCTTCGGATTCTGCTAGTCGTGCACGCGCCCATGCTAAACCACAGTCGCGTGAACAATATTTAGATTCTGGTACCCGTGCTGGTTTATTACATGGTGTATTTTTGCATCTTGGTATCCATTGGGATTTATGACCTTTAGCTAATTTTTAATTAGTAAATTAATTCATAAATTAGAAAATATTTTCAAGAGTAACTCAATAATAAATAAAGCGAATCTAAAAAAAAAATAAATCTTACCAGTACAGCTTGGACAGTAGTATTTGTCAATTAATAAAGATTCCTCTTCGGATATTTTTACACAGTCACCATGATACCACTCGGAACAATTATCACAGCAAATCATGAATCGCAGACCATCATACAAAGTTTGACAGATACAATACAGCTTATTGTCTAGTTGTGCTGCTGAATCATCCAAACCTATCTCTTCGGCAGTTGCTGATCCTTTATTTGTTAGCAATAAACTAGCTGAATCGATTTTGTTAGCGTGTACCGAAGTTGAACGCGGTTGCTTCTTTTGCCGTTTTGTCGACTTTTTATTAATACTATTACTACTACTTGGGGGATGGCTCATATCTGATTTTAGGCTATAATCGTCATCTCCAGAGTCAGCAGCCACCGATTCTGAAGAGAGACGTTTTATACCTTTTTTGGTGGATGAGACACGTGTAATAGTTTTTTTGGCTTGTTTTTTTTGCGTTGCTATTTTGCTCTTTAACAATTTTTTACGGCGTGAACTTTCAACTTTTTGAGGACGACGCATGTACTCTTTCTCACCCGATGAACTTTCTTCTTGATTTTTTAAAGTTTTTTTGGTGATGTAATTGTCAAGGTGATGATTCATTTGATAATTGTCTGATGTAGTTGGTGATGATTTTGAATACTCGTTAGTAATCATTTTGGTTTCACCTTCGGTATCTGATATACTTGATTCTTCTTCCTCCCCTTTGATTGGTTCTTCGTATTCGTATACGCCATCTGCAGAAGTACTCGACATGGCAGGTGAATGATGGGAGACCAATTCGTATGATTCCGTGGTAATCGGGGGAACCGTAAAGTCTCTATTGTTATTATTATACGCGTCATGAGAATATACCGACTCTGCTTTTTTCGCGTGACTGACAACGACATTTGACGATGATTCTTGATTTTTCTTGTCTACTCTAGATGACAATGATGATATATTAACACCATCTTTATTATGTCGTTGTCGTTGCTGTTGTGATTGATGAATTTGGAATTCTTGTGAATTGTTATTTTGCACTACAGTAGCTGCAATAGCCAAAATATTAATGTTATCATTATTCGTAACAACAGGTTGATTAATAATAGATGATGACGAGGGTGGTGATGAAAGTGATTGTTGTGAATATGAAAGTGGATGTGGACTTAGTTGTTGTGGTTGCTGAGAAAGATGCACTGGTTGAACAATTAACTCTTGATTTTTCACCAACTTTTCCTCAATTCGAAATCCACTATTAATATCAATCTTGTTGATGATATGATTTGGATTTTGTCTTAATGGAGTGAATTCAGGCAAAGTAGACACGGAATTTCTTGTTATTGTAGAGAAATGAGTTGTTGCTGTCGGCGGAGACGGAGATTCTCGACTAGGCGGCGAAGTGTATGTAGAAGAGGAAATGATGGATGATTTAGGGACATGATGATTATGATGAGGATGATGATGGTTAATTACCGTTAATGAAGGAGATATAGAAAGTGGCGTGCTGATACTCGAAGAGGAAAGTTGTGAATTTGGTGTAGTCGAAGATGAATTGAAATGAACTGCAGGGAAATTAATAGGCTGGTGAGAATGGTGATAGTTATTGCTGTTATTACTTTTATTGATGTTGTTGTTATTATTTGTGCTACCAATCGTGTTATTGTTTAGATAGGAAGAATTAGGCGTCGGTGTCGACGTTGGTGTGGTATTTGTTATTGTTAGAGAACTCGAGTAGTTGGGAGTACCATGAAACGCGGAATACGAAGGAAGAAAATGAGGAGGGGGAGAAGGTTGTACAGTCGGTGTCTGTGAGATTCTTCTAGGTTGATAATGGTTATTAGAGTTCACTTCCCTTGAAACTGAGAAATACTGAGAACTGGAAATTGGTGTAAGTTGTAGCAGAGTAGGTGGGGGCGAACCATTGTTATTGTTGTTTTGTTGTTGAGGCGAGGGACGATGAGGTGGCGAAGGAGCAGGATTTAACATCGAAGAAATGTTGAATGACTTTGTTTGTGGCGATGCTATTCTTTGTGGTGATTGTTGCAATTTTTGGTGGTGGTGTTCGTGTAAATTTGGCGATATCATTGCTTGTCGAGGCGAGTCATGACTACCATTGCTACTACCATTATGATTGCTATGTGTCATGATTGTGGTTTTCTGTTGAAATGAAGAAGAATTAAAACCATAATTCGTTGACATTTTGAATTTTGATGATCTTTTTTGTGGTTTGATACTAACAAATCAGCAAAAAAATGAAAGAGAAACTAGACAAACAACCGGTTATTCTTGTTGTCGTTGAGGTTTCTTTCTTGTTGTTTTAGTGGTTGTTGGTGTTCTTGTCGTTGCTGTAAATAGTATTTTTAGCGGGGAATAAAGGCCGCGCGCGAAAAGCCACTGATAATTTTAGACTTGTTATGTGCACATACAATTAAGTATGAAAAGAAGTTTTTTTGGGGGTGCAGACAGACAAAGTGCACACACAAATAAATAAATAAAGTACGTGCATGCATGAATTTTTTATTGGTAGATCTTGATTTGATAATACATAATACATAGTATCACTATATTGTTGAACATCAAAAAACATGTTTGCAGAATTTAGAGCGAAAAAACCCAAAAGGAAAAACAACAATACCAATAATGCAAATAGTAACAAAACAAAACGCACAGCAAAAGCACGTAGAAAATTTGAGCTTTTCAAGACGACTTTTTACCAGGTACTGTGCACGTATAATCCGGATGTTGTCGGTAACGACGAACAGGATTTTTTGGAGTATCTCGCGGAGCAAGTTTGGGACGAGGGAGTTTTACAGCAGATGTCTATGATTGATACTATTAACGATGATAGTAGCGTTACTAGTTCAAACGTAGTCGATTCGAGTAATGGTGGCGATAATGGTATTCAACTTGATGAACAAGAAATAATCTCCAAAATATGTGAAGTAATAAAAGATGATTTTGTTACATTTGGCGTTTGTGAAAACGACGAAACATGCATAGAAATCTCTCGTGATATTTTAAATAAATGGAAACTCGTAATTAAAACAACAATTTCTATCCCCAAATCCGAACAACTAGAAGATGAAGAAGATAATGATGAAGAAGAGGAAGAGTCTAACAATGAAGAAGAAGAAGAAGAAGAATATGAACCAGGAACATGTCAACTCTGCCATCGTCACATGCGTCTCAGTTTCCACCACTTGATTCCTCGATATACCCACAAAAAAGTTTTGAAACGAAAACTGTTCACCAAGGAAGAAGTGTTAACTCGTGGTGTCATGATCTGTGGACCTTGTCATAAAGCTTGTCATAAAATGATCTCACATTATGATATGGCATACACGTATAATACGCTAGAGATGCTGCGACAACATGATGGTGTCATCAAGTTTGTTAATTGGGCGTCGAAGCAGAAAAGTAATGTTTGGCGTAGCAGGAAATTAAGCATTGATGATGAGTTGTAATAGTAAAATTGATAATGATGGATGAAATCAAGATGGTCAATTGATAAGGATCGTGATGATTATGCATGAAAGTTAGATTTCTCAATTTTTTCTTGTATTTTTTGTTATTTGATTTTTTTTAACTGGATTTTTTAATTATTATTATTATTATTGTTGTTGTATTGTGAGCTTCATCTTCAGTATTATCGGTATTGTCATCGCACATAGAAACGCATCACTAAATATTATCACAGCATCGTTGCTTAAAATTTGTTATCAATTTCATTGAATATTCCAAAAAAGTGATTCGGAGGTTTTATATTAATATAAGCATACATACAATCATTTTCTCGTTTAGGAATATTAAAACCATTGATTTCTCTAATTAAAAAACGTTCTTTTAGCTAGATTAATTAAAAATTTGTCTCGCAAAATGTATGCATTATACCACGTTATTTATGTCAAACATGGTCTTGTATAAAAAAGGAATGGGTTGCAAAAAAATGCGGGACAAAAAAATGCATTGGTTAAAGCGGCGTAGTCACGTGTAAATAGACCAATCCAATTGTAAGATCATGTGTAACACACAAAATCACGAAAAATTGTATAGAAAAATGTGAGGTTCTATTTTTGGATATTTTAATTTAACGGTACACGTCACATATTCCACATATAGTTTTTAATAATTGGTTTATTCATTATTATTCGTTTCTTTAGACAATTATAATTTTTCTTGCTTGTTTCGACGTTGTTATCGATGGGTTCTTTTACAAAAATAGTTATTTGATCAGAAATTATTATTAGTAAAGGAAACAGTCTATTATCTCATGTCGCTCAAAAATATGATTTATTCTTTGTCATTATAATGGCGTGCTCGTTCTCTTCACCGTAACATTATTATGTTCTGTCAGTATTAACGTTTCCGCTCGTAAATTTCGCAATACCAGCTCCTAATATACCGTATTTATGAAGCGCACTTCCTGCTGATAATCGAATACTTTAAGAATATTTGACTATCCTTCTTTGCTTCTATTTCATGAGTGCAATCAAGGATACGAACCGGTCAACCAGACAAAGCATTTATATGACATGGTAAAATGGGCTAATAAAACCGAATCCCCCAAAAGTTTGAGCTACGTGATATTGTCGATTAACAATAGATCTTCCGATGTATCGGGATGCCAATCTTAATTTCGGGTCATGTGACTGCACACAATCAATAAATAATATATGAGAATTATTAAATATTTGTTAAAACTTGATATTGTTACCATTTTCGTTGGTTTTATAATTCTTCAATATAGATCACGTGTTCTTCACGTGTTTCAATCAGGTGGGAGAGTTTATAAA